CAATACAGAATAATTACTTCTGATCATATATGTTTCTCATAGAATTAAATTAGTAATAGTTTTGTACCGCAAATTCGTTTTCCCGTCGCAATTTAGCTGCCAATTTTTTCAAATCATTAACTTCCTCAATGAATTTGAAAGGAGTGCAATCCAAAGATGGTGGATAAACAGGTTGAAAATCTTCATTAATCTTATCGACAAAGTCCAATACAGATAGCTTCTCCTGCACATACAAGTAAATTGAAGTAAGCAACAACTGTCAACTTCCACAAAATGATATCTGATCATGAAAAATGGATACACACAATATACATGACAATCCGATTGAATCCCAACGCATCCCCACTAAACCACGGACCATATTTACAAAGGATAAGCCAAAAACTTCTGGCCATTAAAATTTGGTCTTGTCTTAAAGGAGCCACTAAAATGTAGTCTTAACTTTCTAAAGTAATGCAAAGCACCAAGGTCAGTTAACTTGAGCGAAGCGTAATCTTCTTCCTCCCTTGTAATCAAAATAAATGGAAAAAGTAACACTTTAAGGCCACAGCAAGCCAAAAGGGGGTTAAACTAACCAGTGGATGTACAAACCGCGAGCCATCTTCACTCCTTTGCAACCAGACATGCTCAAATGGCTGATTTGCATTATTAACCAAAATGTTGAACTCGTCCTGCGGTCTACGGATAGTCGGTATATGAAATGGCACTTTCGGCTTCACCCCCAAAGTTTTCCTGTCCTTGGTAGCAACCTTCACACTAGACTCAAAAGAATCGTGCACCTCGTCTCCATGACTCGGACTCTTCTTCTTCTTCCCACACACCAACTGAAACCCATCATCAGCATCCGCCGTCAAAGCCACTGCCCTCCCACTCTCCTCCTCCTCCTCCTTTCGAATCCTCTGAAACTCGTCCAGCGACACATCGAACCGCTCCAAAATCTCATCGTTAACATTAACCAACCAATCATACGCGTCATCGTTATCCTCGGGGAACGCCATTTCCTTGCCCCAAACTTCAGCCGACGAGCCAATGGTCTCGAGCATCGACTGAGATTGCCGGTCGATGCTCCGTATCGGGATTTTGAATTCATCAAAGTTGTAATAAAAGTGAAAGTCTTTGCCAGCCGGAATACCCTGGGAAGAGCCGGCGAGCTTCGACAAAGACGAGCCGAGAGAACCACTGGTTAGGGATTGCAGAGTCTGAGCCTTCTGTGAATCAGACTGATCGACGTCCATCCTGTAGCTCAGAGATACCCCGCCGGACGTGAGAGGGATCCCCGTTGAGGTATCGGCGGTTAGGGTTCCGGAGAAGAGTTGCAGAGAAGAACTTCGTTTCCGCTGCGCATATACTTCACTGTGCGAGAGAGAGAGGAGAAGGAAAACGTTAAAATGAAACTGAAAGAGAAGAAATGGGTAGAGAGAGAGAGACAGAGAGAGAAAGGCAATCACGTGCGAGGACCTGACTGCACGTGACCTCGACCCCAATCAGATTGTGTCATAACAAATTAGTTCAATTCCCTCTGCTCGGACTGTTTTGAATGTAGAGGATCCAGGTTGGTTAATTTAGTAAAATATCATAGATTAAAGAAATACATCTCCATTCGTATAAAGTCTTTTGGGGAAGCCCAAAACAAACCCATGAGAGATCATACTCAAAGTAAACAATATCATACCATTGCAGAAAGCCATGTTTGTCTAACATGGTATCAGAGTCATGCCCTAAACTTAGTCATGTCGAACAAAGAATTATGAGCCTCGAAAGTGTAGTCAAAATTGTCTAACAAAGGGTGTACTTTGTTTGAGGGCCCTAGAGAAAGAAGTCGAGCCTCGATTAAGGGGAGACTATTCGAGAGCTCCATAAACCTCAGGGGATAGTGTACTTTGTTCGAGGGGAGGATTGTTGAGGATTATTGAGAGTGAGTCCCACATTGGCTAATTTAGGTATTTTGTTCGATGGGAGGATTGTTGAGGATTATTGAGAGTGAGTCCCACATTGGCTAATTTAGGTATTTTGTTCGATGAGAGGATTGTTGAGGATTATTGGGAGTGAGTCCCACATTGGTAGCTAATTTAGGGAATTTAAGAAATGATCATGAGATTATAAGTAAAAGAATATATCTCTATTGGTACGAGGCTTTTGCGGAAGCCTAAAGCGAAGGCATGAGATCCATTGGTAGCAAAGTCATGAGATCCATTGGTAGCAAAGTCATGAGATCCATTGGTATGAGGCATTTTGGGGAACCAAGCAAAGCTTCCCAAAGCAAAGGTATGAGATCATTGGTATGAGGTCTTTTGGAGAAACTCAAAGCAAAGTTATGAGATCCACTGTTATGAAGCATTTTGGGAAGCCTAAAGCAAAGCCATGAGATCCAATACTCAAAGTAGACAACATCATACCATTGTGGAAAGTGGTGATTTCTAATATTGAAAGCATCGTTCGGCTCGTTCAAACTGTTTTGAAAGCATTTTTTTTTTATCAAATTGTTTACAATTGATTTTAATATAATTACGTGTTGTTGGCTTCACGATTAGGTTGGTAAGCTTGAGTTTTCAAACCTAAAGATGAAATTGGATCATATGAAACTAAACCGAAGAACATTCAACACAAGAAATCTTAGGAGTACCAAGTGAGTCTGAAATTGTTTGAATACCTACGAGCTAGTTTGATGAAATTATATGTTGCATAAAAATATGTTTACTACGTGTTATTATATTGATATAACTATGTATGATTTAGTTGATATATTGGGATTCTATATTTGTAAACTTCATGACCATAATGATGTAACCATGTGTATGATTTACGAGGCATCACGAATGAAATGCTATGATTTTATATGTTGCCCTCATAGAGCACATGGGTCGTGACATATGGAAGTATTATATAACGGAACCTCAAGCATATTGTGTGTACATCAACCATAAATTACTCATTCTGATATGTTCGAAATGATGCATACTTAAAAGAGAGATTTTGGGTCTTATTTCTTCTTAGAGTTCACCTCCACGAGTATGGGTAAACCTACACACATGCTTATTATCTGATCGGGCCCACGTGCGTGTGAATAGACCATACGTAGAAAATAATATACACCTCAATCTACCCGATAATAAAATTTGAGCCAAATACTATATTCATGATTTTAGATCGAGTTTATAATTACATATGTTTACATTTCTTGATTCAAATAGTGGAGTCACTTGTTAAGTATTTTCAAATATTCCATATTATTAGTATTCTCTCGACAAAGACTATTTTAAATATGAATATTTGAATTCATGACAAATTTTAAGATAAAATGATTTTAGATAATTTTCTTTGATATGATGCCGGAAATAGACCGATTTTATATCACCCTTCAATTCGAATTAGCAAAAGCAATGTCTCCTTGCATAATATGGATTCCAAACATTCATGATCTGGATGTGAATGCGTCGAATTACTTATCTTTTGGTCTATTAGTGAACTATCTCTCGAGGGATTGTGAAAGATGTTCCACTAGAAATATTCTTGTTATTGCTTCGACCCATATTCCCCAAAAAGTGGATCTCGCTCTAATAGCTCCGAATAAATTAAATACATGCATTAAAATACGAAGGCTTCTTATTCCACAACAACGAAAGCACTTTTTCACTCTTTCATATACTAAGGGATTTCACTTGGAAAAGAAAATGTTCCATACTAATGGATTCGGTTCCATAACCATGAGTTCCAATGTACGAGATCTTGTAGCACTTACCAATGAGACCCTATCGATTAGTATTATGCAGAAGAAATCAATTATAGACATCTGCTATTCACTTTAATTTAATTTTATAAGACTTTAATTAAATTTTATAAGGATAAAGTAGAGTCATTCCTTCCGATGCCAATTGTCTGTCAATCATACAAATTTGTTTTATTTCTTATTTTATATTTAATCAAGTATTATTCTTTTTTTTTTTTTTTTTTTTTACTTTATTTCTTTTTACAAAAATTATTTGAGATATGGAAATGAAAAATGATTTTCCTCCGTTTTCGTTCATTTTGGAAGAGAAGTCCTCTTCGTTTCATATCTCAAATAATTTTATAATCCCTAACGACAACTAAAAACGAAGAATAATGTAACGGAGAGAAGAAAATGAAGAGAGAAGAAAATGAAAAGAGTGGAGAAAGATAGGAGGAAGTGGAGAAAGAAGATGTTTTTATTATAATAATTAAAAAATTAGTGACAAATTAATTTTTAATTAAAAAATGTGTCACGGTGTCAATAATTAACCGATGAACCAAGAGTGTTACAACATACAAACCAAAATAAAATATCTTAATTTGAAAACGTGACGTAATACTGTGTGTATATACATATATATTATTATTTTTCTTTTTTTTGGGTGCGCTCTTCAATTTACAAGCGTAAAGATATACAAAATGTCTCTTGTTTGTTTAGTAGCTTTTTTTTTTAATTAAATTAATAAAAATATTTATAAATTTTGTATTTCACTTAAAACTTCCAAAAAATCCATTAAAAAAAAGATGTAAACATTCTTAAAATTGAAATTATGCATGAAAAATATCCTACTGAAAAGTGGCATTAAAGCATTTTTCTTCCCAAAAAAAAAAAAAAATTGTTACATATGAAGGATATCGTGTATATCTATACCTCAAATAAGATGATAAATGAAAATTTGTGGGACCCCTATGCAAAGAATAGTATTTTTTTTAAAACATATTTCTCAAAAAAAAAAAAAAAAATCACAATATTTTTAAACTAAAATTCAATGATGATATTTTTGGACGATTATTTTAAAACAAATTATCTATTTATCGATTTAAGAGTTAAATGATGACTAAAACTTTTGAAAATTGAAAAGAAATTATAAAGCAAATTACAAAATTAAGAGAAATTAAGATTTATACTAATTTACCCAAAAAAAAAAAAAAAAAAAAACTCACCGAACATGACAGTAGCTCATGAGGATTTTATTTTCAACCCCAAGTGTCCAAAATTGAACAAGAAAACCAAATTCCATTGTCACGTTGTTCTGTGGGGGCCCAACTTCGTGTACTTGCAAAAGACAAGACAAGGATATGAGTTTGACCTCACACGCAGAGCATCAGAATGAACAATCAAAAAGATGGCCAAACTAGGAAGGAACGAAAAAAGATGAATGGAGGGTTACCCTTTTTAAGTGGAATGGCTGTCACTCTCAGGTAGCTTGCCAACAACACGGACGCGGATGACAGGGATAGAGTCCCACCATTCCTTCAGTCGTCTGTCCCCACCGCTGTGGGTATCCTCAGTTTTCTTCCGTAGCCTTGAGGTCATGAAAAACCCATATAATGTTGACCCCATTATTATGTACTTTGTTGGAACTAATGCCAGTGTTATTGCCACGCCGCATAATACCGACATCACAATGTCTGAATGCTGCAATGATCCCCACAATAATACAAATTGTTTTTACAAACATTCAAACACAGTCTCTGGTCTGATTGAACTATGCTCAAAATAATCATTAGCCCGAGAATCATGAACTATGCTCTATGCTCAATATGACCATTAGCATGAGAATCATGAACTATGCTTAGAATGACCATAAGCACGAGAATCATGAATCATGCTCAGAATGACCATTTACACGAGAATCATGAAACTATGCTCAGAATGATCATTAGCATGTGAATCATGAACCATGCTCCGCATGGCCATTAGCACGAGAATCGTGAACTATGCTTAGAATAACCATTAGTACGAGAATCATGAAAGAGGGACCATTTACCACAAGAATCATGAATTATGCTCAGAATGACCATTAGTACGAGAATCATGAACTACGCTCAGAATGACCATTAGTACGAGAATCATGAATCATGCTCATAATGACCATTAGTACGAGAATCGATCAAAAAAAATGTGAAATTAATGATTTTTTCTAAAATTGTTCATCCCTCTTTTGTGAACTCAAATAAATTTTGTCACTCAATTTCAATTTAACTAATAACTATTACCTTCTAAAACCATTTAATAACAATTTCGTAATCGAAAATCATTGAGGGGGGAAACCAATACCGATTCTTTCATCCAATATAGACAACTTTTTTTCAAGTTGAGACCATGGAAAAGGTGGTCTCCGTTCCAATACCTACCAATGTTTTATTTCCATGCATGGCAAGTAGCCTCTCATTGGATGCCATTGGATGATGATGACTGAACTAAAATCTAAACTAGCCAAGAGTTTCAAATGATTATGACAATAATCGGCCAACTCGATGTATTTGGAAATGTTACTTCGAAGTTGTATATTTGCTACCACCTAGTTTGAGCAAATATATATATACCCAAAGGAATGTAAGACTAAATCTCATGAGAATCGAATGGTTAGATCTTTTTCAAGAAACATGTGAAAAAAATTTAGTAAGGAAATGTGAGTATACCTTGCGAGTTTTGGATATGAAAATGGACCAAAACTTCAACACTGCAATGTTTACAGTCTTCACAATCTCGTGCACATTTTGCAAACCTTGTTGGGCAGCCACTATGCTCTCCATTGTACTTTGGTCAGTGGCAGTGCAGACCACAATCTCGTCACAGTTTTCCCGAATCTTTTCCATTCTCGCTTGAAACATCGCCATGACCACCCAAAATAGGAAGGCAGCCACGGCCTTGCCGAACCACTCCCTACATCCGTGAATGTACATTAGTTGGCATCTTGATACGAGGAAAACTTGAAGAATAGGAGATTTGGTGCAAACAAAATGCTAAGACAGAACTTACTTATATGTAATTATCAAAGACACAGTGAGCACAATAACAGTAGCCACTGGGCTTTCCCATTCAAGAACTTCTTTGAACCAAGATAACCTGCTATTGAGTGGCTTTAGTAGCTCCTATATCATATTATCAGATTGTGATTTTAATATTAATAGATAGAGAATAAAATTCTTTAAACATTTGCTTAGAATAAGATGCTTACCATGAAGATAAATACACTTTCACCAATTCCCTCCTCTTTCAGTCCTACAGCAGTAGCCTTGGCAACTGCAACTTTCTTCTCTTCTTCTCTGGCCTGATTAATGGCATTCTCTAAGGAGGACCGAGATTCATCAAGTTCAGTACTTATATTACAAACTTTCTCCGTTACTTCTACACTACAGTCGGATAGTTGTGATATGTTCAAATATCTCAGGGCTGAAGTTGCACTACATGGCCGTCCACTATTCGGCAACTTCAGATTCTCAGCAAGTTCTTCTAGAACATAGTCACCCTTTGGTAGCTCGTCACATAAGGCAAAGATTAAGAACTTTGTAGGAACCGGTGGATATATTCTAAGCAGTTCTCTGGCTGCATGAAGCCTTATAACCCCTAATATTGTTCTTGAATGCATCTCCCATGCCTGTATTGGACTTTCCACATTAAATTTCCGTAAAAAACGATGCAAGAGAACAATCTCCTTTATTAATGCTAGCCAATGATCACGTCTTGTAGAACTTGTTATCTCTGGAAACTCCAGCACAACTTCCTCTAATCTATAACAGTGTGACAATATTTGGATTAATAATAAATTAAAGCATTTCTTTTAGACCAATTGCTCAATCATCGCCCAAAAAAAAACTCACATCGCAGGGGACTCATAGACTATTGCCTTGTCAAATATTGGGGCACCCCAAGGTCCTGTGGAAGCTGGCTTTACACTGTGCAGAGTGTCCCTTGATAGTTCTATCTCAACTGCATTTTCATATGCTATCACTCCTGAAGCCTCAAAATAGAGGCTGTAGTTGGTTAATGTAAGCCTTCCTGAGACAGAAAAACGACCTTCCTGTTTGGACATGTTCTCAATGATAGATCAATCAAATGGGAGATGGATCAACGAAAATTTGCTAAATCTAACCAGGCCAACTTGTTGATCCAATGTGGCGCACAACCCTTTGTGAGCTAGCAGTCCCCTCCACGTGTAATATGAACTCATCGTCGCGTAATTCTACTCCCTTTGGCGTTGCCTGTTTCTGCAGATGTTTCATGCATCTGGAGACGATAGATTGAACAAGAGCCCAAAAAAAGTGAGAAAATGATTCAGAAGTTGTATTGATTAAATATAGATATCTAATTACCTATAACTAACAAATTTTACCTCTCCTTACCAGGTTTGGGGACTTACTGATAGTGTATGTAAACTTTTAGATACAATGTCTGGAAGAGAAATGCTAATTAAGTACTCTCTCTAGAACTACTTTGAAGCTCTTCCAAGTGTTCTTAAAAACTTCTTAATCCAATGTTATGAAAAACTCGACAAATGGCTTTAGTTGGCTAAAAGAGTTTTCACAATTTTAAAAGTTATATCAAACTCACTTTCCTCAAATCTCTTGAGGAAGTATTTGAACAATTATAAAATAAATTGTAAAATGGCAAGGAGAAACACTCTCTATAATTCATTTATCTCAGCCTCAAAGAAAAACAACGCAAACCTTCTATATTGGCAGAGGGAGAAAAACTCCTGCGCTCATACAATACAAACGGTCTGAGTAAAGTAGAGTAAACTAACAATAGACGTAACTATCAAATAAACAGAGAAGGCAAGTGTCCATTAGTGTGCTATCTTAAGTGTGGTACAGAATTCCCATTAACGTCATAACCACAACTACAGGAATGTTATATAATTGATAACATATAAATGCATGGTACCGATGACATCGAGATTAAATGTACCATTTTACTACGATAGTGCTGGCTAGGTCATAAAAGGTAAGCGTAAACCTAAAATTATAATGCTTCTCCAGTCAATGAAACTAACGTGTTTCTCGCCTTCCACTCCACTGCGCTAAAAATGGAAAAAGTTGAATTAAAATTTAGAACAAGATATAACTAATACTTGTCAATTTCCTTCAGAAATTTATCATATGCTGGGAAATGAAGCCGGTGTCCAGCTGGTGCTGTTAGAGTTTCGAATGTGAATCTTGCATTGACAAGATCCGATACTAATGGAACTAAAGAACCTAACCACACAAATGCATCTTCTCCAACATCTGGATCGTCGTTAACCTGCCAAGATAATAACAAAATTGGGTGTCCGAAGGCGAGAGAGAGACAGACAGGCAAGAAAATCACCAATAATCCATCAAAATGTAATTAGATGGTTCGTCCAATCACACACGAGTCTTACAAGCAACGGTATAAGGTCCGAATAGAAAAGAGGGATCTCATCTTGCTCGGGAGGCACATTAGCTGCTATGATTTTATTCTTCTCTTCTTTCGCCTTCGCCACGCACTCCTGTAACATCGACGACAAAGAAACATAAAAGTTATACACAAGCAACTCAATATTACCGATGCATAAGGAAGAGCTTCAGCACGAAACTATCAACTGGAAAGAAACTTAGAAAACTAAATAAGATTTCAAATATCACATAATAACACCATAGCCCAACTTTTGCAAGGCATTACAAAAGAACAATCGCTGCAACTAGAGTCAAAGACAATGTATTCTCCCGGTAACAAAATCAAATTTCGGAACATTTTAAACAGAAATGTGGAGGAATATATCTTAAAACTAAATCGATAAAACCGGCAAATAGGAGCCTAATAGAGAACTTCTGAACAAGGTTGAGAAGTGCGTGTACACGTACGTACCTTGCGAGACTCTTCATCTTCAGAAGTAGGCATCTCCCAAGCAAGCATCATATCAAAGCTGAAGCGGCTAAACGATCCATTGCCAATACCTTCCTCCAAGTTCCGGCACATATCCGCCAGAGCCTTGGCGCTACAAAACTCCACGAACTTCCTCGAATAGGTTCTGGTCTCAGGTTTCCACGAAATCTCAAACTCCTCCACCAATCCTTCCACCGAACTACCGGCTTTCCTGTACAAGTACAAAATCATTTAGCAATCAAAACCAGGCTCAATCGGTCTGTACAAGCCACAGAACAAGAAGAATAACATTGAAGTGCTTTCGATTTGAGAATGAGCGAAGAAGAAGAAGAAGAAGAAGAAATTATCTTACAGAGCACAGCGTTGGACGACGTCATTGGCGATGGAAGACAGTCGCTTCCAAGAGGTCGTCGCCATTGTTGCGGTGATTTCGATTTGCCGAGACATAGGAATGTAGAACGAAGAAGCTTTTCGGTCCTAATGGCTACGCAGTGAAAGGTGCATGTTGTACGTGTCTATATACCACTCGCTGACGTGGCATATTCCTCATGCAACGCGCATGCCACGTAAGACCTCTATGGCTTGGAAATTGGGTAGAATCTCAGGTTTGTCGCTTATGAAGTTAATGTTTCCATTTTTTTTTTACCAATAATAATATTATCAATTTTTTCTTTTTTTGTTAAAAACCTATTTAATGTTGTGACCATAATAATTAAATTAGTGAACGGGACTTTCATCCAACACGATTCACAATGCTATGATATTGTCCACTTTGAGTATAAGCTCTTATAGCTTAGCTTTGGGTTTCTCCCAACCTCATTCCAATGGAGGGAGTATTATTTGATTATAAACTCATGATCATTCTTAACTATTTGATTAAAGCATTGGTAACGTTCTATAATGAACCCTTCAAACAACATTTCTTATTTCACATGAACAGGATCTGTGCAGCACTAAGAGTATTGATTATTAGGGTTTGTGAGAAATTCTCACGACAACTAAGGCGCGGGTGGAATTTGGTTGAAGGCTCGATGATTTGAGGGGAATGTTAGGGAGTTCGGAGGACCATTCTTTTTGTTTTTTTCTTTAAAAACTATTGTTATAAAAGAGGGAAGAGAATAATAGAACTATCAGAGAGATTTTAGGGCTTAAATATTTAATAATATTGTATGCTTGTAGTTAAGTGCGAGTTAACATGTTTGAGTTAATAAAAAAAAAATAATAATAATAATAATAAATAAATAAATAGTATATTTGTTTAAAAAGTATTATTAAATTTTAGAACGTTTCATTAATATTTTTTAATTTAAAAAAAAATATTATTAAAGTTTACAAAATTTTAAAAATAGATTAACCTCCTTATATTTATGAAATAGAGATAAAAACAAATTATTACTATTATGAAAGAAAATCATCTATTGACACCTTATAAATTATATTAAAATATGATATTTTTTGAAACATGATATTAATACAAACCCATTTAAAAAATTAGGTCGGTTTCTTTATAATAAAAATTTTTAAAAATATTTTGATTTTTTTTAAAAAATATTTTTTTAGACTGAATTTTTAAAAAATTAGAGGTATTTTTTAGTTTTCATTAATTTGGAAAAAGAAAAAAAAACACAATAAATGACAAAAGTTTTATGAGTTTTAATAAAAAAATTTGGAAGTTTATGATTTTTGCTAGAAAGTTTATATTTTTGTGCTAAAAATATATTCACACGTGGCAGATGATGATTGGTCAATAAGCGTCATGTCCCAAAAATAGTTGGCTCAAAAGCAACTTTCTCGCTTCCTTCCACTCTTGTTTCTCATTCCAGCTTGATTTCAATTTTCACCCTGCAGCGCTGCGACCTTCCTCTCTCTCTCAGCGCATCAATGAAGGCGGTCTCCGATCCTTCTTCTCTGGTTCGTCTCAACATTGGTATGTCCTCTTCTTCCTCTCAATTTATTGCATTCAACTGTCTTTATCAGTCAATTGCTGGCTCCTAGCGAAAAAATTAAACCATTGATCTTAACAACTATTCGATTGATTTGCGAAAAGATTATGACATTCAGGTGCTGATTATACTCTTTAGATATTGTAATTAGCAATTGATTGCCGAAGTTAGCTGATCTTTGGCACGTTCCTTCCGTAAACAGCATCGTGTTATTTAATTCTGTTGTATTTATTCGTTTAGTGTTAATCGAGGAGGATTTTGAGTTGTTTTATATTGTTTTTTAGTGTTTTTTATCGTGTTTACTTGCAGGTGGGAAGAAATTTAGAACAACATTAGATACATTGACTCAGCGAGAACCTGATTCGATGCTAGCTGCAATGTTTAGTGGCCGTCATACCTTATGCCAGGATCCTGATGAGGTGCGTGTTTTCATAGAGAAATCAGTTGATTTTAGTCTCAGGTATTATGTCTATATGTTGGGGTTCCACAATTGGAATCTTATTCTTCATTGACATAATTCACTCTCTCTGTATTTGATTTATTTTACGTGGAAATCTACTCTATCTGAGCATTACTATTTTATTTGAGGCAGGGATCTGTCTTTTTGGACAGAGATGGGAAACATTTTCGACATATTCTCAATTGGTTAAGGGATGGCATAGTTCCAACGCTTCCTGACTCTGAGATTGCAGAGCTTCTGCGAGAGGCAGAGTACTATCAGTTGCTTGTGAGCCATCATTCTTTCCTGTAGTTTAACATTTATTTAAAATTTCATGTCTTAATTACATGATTCGTATCCTACTTCCACAAGTTTCTTTGGGTTAATATTTATTTTCCATGTCATAGTTGAAGGAGTTATTTTCAATATTAATTCTCGTGTTTTTTTTTCTTCTATATTAATGGTTAGAGGGGATTAAATTTTGATTCAGGGACTCATCGATGGAATCAATGATGCGATGAGTAAAAAGAAGGAAGATGAGGAACCTCAGTCTGAGCTGAACCGTGTTGATATTATCAAGTGCATACAGTCTGAGAAAGTTAGACTGCGAGGGGTTAACCTATCTGGCCTTGATCTTTCCAAGCTGGTAATTATCTAGTTTCTTGACTTATGAGAAGATAATTTTTTAGATAAAAGAAATAATCTCACTATTATATACAATTTACAAAGGAAAAGCCTATGCAAGGGCCAAATCTTACAAAGAAGATAGGAGGTAGTCTTGAAAATGGTAAGGTTCTTCATCAAGGATGACTTTCTAAAGGTGTTAAATGAGTTTCATGAGAGAGGCATCATCAATGCCACTAGACTGAATCCTGATTTGGGTTGTTTTTTTTTAAAAGTTGTTGCCCTTGAATCAAGTACTTCAAACCTATAAGTTCGGTCACCAACCTATAATATGATTGCTAAGATTTTGACAGAGAAAATGCACAAAATGATCTCAAATACCATTTTGGAAAATTTGGCCGCTTTTGTGGCTGGGGTTAGTCTTCATAATTGCTCAGAAAGTTACTGAGTGCTATAGGACTTTGGAAGGCGTCACTTTCAAAATACTTTGCCTCAGGTATATCTTAATTACTCGGGAAGTTACTGAGGGCTATAGAACTTCGCAAGGTCTCATTTTCAAAAGACTTTGAAAAGGCCCAATTTCAGATAATTGTTCTTTTGTTTCATTTTGTTTTTGATTAGATCCTCTGAGAGAAAGGTTTTGATTTTAAGTGGATATCTTGAGTGGGTAATTGTCTTCACTATGTCAAATTTTCTATCTTAATTAGTGGTAGACCGAGTTGGCGAAGTGTGAATTCTTTGCCACCGGGAGTTTCAGTTTGAGGGCTTATATAAAATTCATCCAACCTATATACAGTTTGCAAACAATACTGTATTCTTTTGTTTTAGTAGGGAGGACTGCTTCATCTCTTTGAACGAGACCCTTTTTGTTTATGAATGGAGGAGGTAAGATTTTAATTTTTGTTATTAGTGCACTTTCATGAATCCTTGCAAAGTCAACCCCCTGATATTCGCTGCAGCTTGAGAATTTCATTTCTCCTTAATTAGAAACGAGGTTCTACTTGCGTCCAGGAAGATGTCTGGTTTGCAATCCCTTCGCTTTCTCTACCTTGATTTCTACAAAATTCTACTTGCAAAAGAGTTCCTTATTTATTTATTTTTTTTTTTGTCTTTTACCACTTCTAGGATGTTCTCATAATTTCCAATTTTAGAAGGGCCTAATCTGATTTGAAAGTGGACATAGTTCTCTTGGTTTTATCTTGTGTTCAGGCTATTTTCTCAAACTTGTACTCTAAGGAAAGTAGTTGGGCCTTTTTGTAATTATGACTCAAATTAACTTATAGCCCATTGGAAAAGCTTTTTGTAATTCCTTGGATAGGTCTTCCTTTTGCAATTTCATTTTGTCAATGAAATTGTTTTGTTTCCTATGTAAAAAAGGAAAAACAGTCAGGCCCCTTTAATCTTCTAGCCTTTTCTCACGTAAATCCACTTTTTACCCACTTAGCCTCTCATATACCTTTATTTTCCCTCCTTGCTCCTCCAAGAACCCGCATCTCGAACTTGAAGAAGTATTCATTTTTCCTCTCTTTTGGGTTGCTTGTTGCTCATGGGAGGATCAGCACCATACAACAATCTTCCTCTTTTGTGCTTGACTGTGTGTGTTTAAGTCAGTGAGAGAAATAGTAGAGCTTTAGAGGCTTAAACTTTGGACCTTTGGCTAGGTTCAATGCTTCCTTACGAATTTCTGCATCCTCTAGTGAATTCGTCAATTGAAGCTATTTTCTGAATTGTTTTGTAGCTTGCAAGTTTTTGTGTTTTTTGTTCTCTGGCTTGTCCTGGGATTGCATTTTTCTGCCCATTATGTATTATAAATTAAAGCTGGTTTCTCATATTTTTTCTTAAAAGGTAAGCAGGTATGTGAGAACATGTTTAACTTACTAATTTTCCATAACAATCTAGATATCTGTTTATGTGATTATCATTTCCTGGCTATTTTTATAGAATTTACTTCGTATATTTCTATATCTGCAAATGTCTCTGTTTGAAGTTTCTGTTGGTTGCTACCGATGTAAGATCACATATCTCATGTCTAAAGCTATTAAGAAATGTACAGGACCTTTCATATGTAGACTTCAGCTATGCAAGTCTTAAGAATGTGTTCTTCTCACGCGCAAACCTTCAGTGTGCTAAATTTCGGGTATGTACTTTTGTAGTTCCATCTACCATGGACACTTCTGTCATTATAAATGTATAGCTAATAGTATTTCCTTGACGAGTGGAAAATAACTTCTATCAGCAACAGTTAGACTGTTTGTCTTTATAAATTTCAATCGTAAGGAATTGAGCTAGTAGTCAATGAAAAGAAGCTCATCAATATATATTTAGGATGATTCAAAATTTAGCATGTTCTCCATAGGTTTGAAATAATATCAATGATCGTGCATTCTGCGTAACGTTTATCACTTGAACTTAGGGAAGAAGAACAATATTATAGTATTTCTTCTTACACATCTAAAA